CACGTTTTGAACCATAATCGTATACATTTAAAGAAGTCAAGGAAAATACGAGTAAATAGGGGCAAAAGGGAAAAAATAATCAACGTCTCCGGAAAGACTTGTTTTCGAACATGACACCATTATTTAATGTAGATAACATATATTTCGTGCCCCATCGCAATTTGAAGCAAAATCGTATACATTTAAAGAAGTCAATGAAAATACGAGTAAATAGGGTTAAAAGGGAAAAAATAATCAACGTCTCCAGAAAGACTTGTTTTCGAACACAGGACCATTATTTGACGTGGATAACATATATTTCGTGCCCCATCGCGTTTTGAAGCAAAATCGTATACATTTAAAGGATTCAAGGAAAATACGAGTAAATTGGGACAAAAGGGAAAAAATAATCAACGTTTCCGGAAAGACTTGTTCTCGAACACGGCACCATTATTTAATGTGGATAACATATTTTTCGTGCCCCATCGCGTTTTCAAGCAAAATCATATACATTTAAAGAAGTCAGGGAAAATACGAGTAAATAGGGTTCAAAAGGAAAAATAATCAACGTCTCCGGAAAGACTTGTTTTCGAACACAGAACCATTATTTGATGTGGATAACATATATTTCACGCCCCATCGCGTTTTGAAGCAAAATCGTATACATTTAAGGAAGTCAAGGAAAATACAAGTAAATAGGGACAAAAAGGAAAAAATTATCATCGTCTACGGAAAGACTTGTTTTCGAACACGAAACCATTATTTAATGTAGATAACATATATTTCGTGCCCCATCGCAATTTGAAGCAAAATCGTATACATTTAAAGAAGTCAAGGAAAATACGAGTAAATAGGGTTAAAAGGGAAAAAATAACCAAAGTCTCCGGAAAGACTTGTTTTCGAACACGAAACCATTATTTGATGTTGATAACATATATTTCGTGCCCCATCGCATTTTGAAGCAAAGTCCTATACATTTAAAGGTTCAAGGAAAATACGAGTAAATAAGGACAAAAGGGAAAAAATAATCAACGTCTCCGGAAAGACTTGTTTTCAAACACGACACCATTATTTAATGTGGATAACATATATTTCGTGCCCCATCGCGTTTTGAAGCAAAATCGTATACATTTAAAGAAGTCAAGGAAAATACGAGTAAATAGGGTTAAAAGGGATAAAATAATCAACGTCTGCGGAAAGACTTGTTTTCGAACACAGAACCATTATTTGATGTGGATAACATATATTTCGCTCCCAATCGCGTTTTGAAGCAAAATCGTATACATTTAAAGAAGTCAAGGAAAATACGAGTAAATAGGGACAAAAAGGAAAAAAATAATCAACGTCTACGGAAAGACTTGTTTTCGAACACGACACCATTATTATGTGGATAACATATATTTCGAGCCCCATTGCGTTTTGAAGCAAAAAATCGTATACATTGAAAGAAGTCAAGGAAAATACGGGTAAATAGGGGCAAAAGGGTAAAAATAATCAACGTCTCCGGAAAGACTTGTTTTCGAACACGGAACCATTATTTGATGTGGATAACATATATTTTGCGCCCAATCGCGTTTTGAAGCAAAATCGTATACATTCAAAGAAGTCAAGGAAAATACGAGTAAATAGGGACAAAAAGGAAAAAGTAATCAACG